TGCCTCAGCTCTGGAGCAGCTGGGACTAGTCATGTGCCACCATGTCCAGCTAATTTTCTTTTTTTTTTTTTTTTGAGACAGAGTCTCACTTTGTTCTGTTGGCCCTGGCTATGAGTTGCCGAGGGTTCAGCCTAGCACAGCAAGCCGGACAAATAAAAAAAATACTACCAGGGATTGCCACTCCAGTCTTCTTTACAGAATAAACTGGTAAAAATGATGCGGTGGCTGAATGAAAGCCAGCTCTACTCCAATGATTCTCCAATGCATGAATTAAGCATGCATCAGAATTTTCTGGAGGGCTTGTTAAAGAATTGCTGGGCCCCACCCGTACAATTTGTTTATTCAATAGATTGGTAGTAGGATAAGAAAAATTTACATTTTTTAAAGTTCCCAGGTAAAACTACTGTTCTAGGAATCGCACTTGGAGAACTAGTTCTACAATTTAGCTCTGTTGTTGCAAAAAATCAATGTCAATGATTCACAAAGAGTTGCTGAAGAATGGACGAATAGAAATGTACTGGACTTCACGTCAACTTTCCTTATTGTGATTAAGTTAGTTTGATCCCTCTAGCTGTTCTTTTGTTGTAAACATTTTCTATAAGTAGGAAATACCATTTTAGAGAGAGAAATACATATAATAGCCATTTACTATGTTCTGTGTTTTACAAAAACCTCACATGTGTATATTCCCTTCTGCACAGTTTTATAATATATCTCTTATTTGAGCTTGTGGGGCATAAAATTCATGAATAGATGAATATATTGTGGACACCACCACTTCTCACTACCCTTTCTCTATGCACAAAGACCACAATACACTGCAATATTTTTCTATGGAATCCTATTTCCACTCTTGTATTCAAATTTCTCCCCACTTAATGATTATGTTCAAAATAAATAACTATGGCATTACTGTGTTTTACTTCTGTTGTACTATATTTGGAATACAGATGTTCTTGGGCAAGTCAGGAGATTAACATGACTACTGTTAAATTTTCAAAATTATAGTTAATATTTCAGAAGAAACCCATGGATGTTTGCAGGTTCTTTATCTGCTCAGTGTTGAAAGATGGAGAAAAGGAATCCTTGCCATAATCTACATTTAATAAGATTGTTCCATTTTAATGCATAAAACCCTTTGAAATACATTTCAACCATGAGAGTATTAGTGTCTACAATTCATGTTAGAAAAAGTTAAAATAAGAGTATATATTCTATATTCAGAAAATCTGAGAGAGCATTTTTGATTATTACAAAAGTTTATTTAACAAAAGTTTAATATGAAAATGTACATGACCTGATTTTGACATCATAGTAAAACAGGCCCTTTGGGGAGGGGACATGGATTTCTCTGCTCAACAGCCATTATTTATACTCGTTCCAAGGCTTCTAACATGATGATACTATTTCCTCGTATTACCTAAGAAAGGGAAAAGTAAAACGGAAAACAATTCATTTAGGAGACAGATCAATGATGATTAAAGAATTTTTACCAAATCATTAAGGCTGACAATTACCTTTATGAGATGCCAAGTTATTCATTGACTTGTCTTACTTTTTAAACTGCAAACTGAAATGAACTCTCTACCCTTATCCTTAAGGGATTGAAAAATTAACGGGAAAGACAGGTACAGAATAGGTTAGGTACAGTTTAAGACCATTTAGGGAACAAACAAGGATGGAAGTTAGTAAAGGCAGGCTTTACGAAAATGACATCTTACCCGGGCCTTGGAAATTGAGTAGAAATTTTTTTTTTTTTGAGACAGAGTCTGACTCTGTTGCCCAGGCTAGAGTGAGTGCCGTGGCATTAGCCTAGCTCACAGCAACCTCAAACTCCTGGCTCAAGCAACCTTCTTCCTCAGCTCCCGAGTAGCTGGACTACAGGCATGCGCCACCATGCACGGCTAATTTTTCTACATATATTAGTTGGCCAATTAATTTCTTTCTATTTTTAGTAGAGACGGAGTCTCGCTCTTGCTCAGGCTGGTTTCGAACTCCTGACCTTGAGCAATCCGTCTGTCTTGGATTACAGGCATGAGCCACCTCGCCCGGCCACACATACATTCTTAATATACTAAGTACCATTAAGAAATTATCATGGCCTCAGTGGGTCACTGACTTGAACAAGGTATTAATGAAACCAACTGTTTCCTTTGCTAAACAATTTCTGATAAAACGAAATTAACATAAACTTAACGTGTTTGTCTTTCTTCCAGTTTCAAAAAAGTCCAAAGTCCACTTCTTTTTTGCGTTTTCCTTAAAATGTCTTTTTATTAAACACCATAATGTATTATCATTACTTCATTTTCAAAGTGAAGACTCAGCTGCAATACTATCTTGCTGATCAGTTTAAGGGAAAATTGCCAGAAGAGTCCATGACTCAAGGTCAATTCCTTTTCTGATAAAAATCCAATAAGCAGTGTGTCACACAATTGGATAAAAATATTATATTTTCAAACCAGAATTGACATTTAATATGCCAAGCCTTTCTGAATCCTTTACAGCAAATTTGTTGAGATGAAACAAAACCCCATCTACCTTCTATTAGAATGAAGACTTCCCAATTTGTAAAAAGAAGGGTCAGAGGAAAATCTTGAGGTATTTAGAAACTGTTTTTATCAGAACCTGGCTGCCAATAATCCTATCAGAGTATTCAACAGAAGCTCATAGGGGAATGCAAGTGAAAGGCAGTGAATGCAATTTGGGAATTGGTGTGACATGTAGAGACTCTAAACTTTCTAGTTATGACTACTTTTAAAATGTAGCAATGGAAACCATTTGATAATAAGTAAGACAAACCCTGGGAAGAGTGATTTTTAAAAAATTACATAAGCAAAGGTGTTAAAATCGGTCTATCTTCAACTATCTACTGTTCACACTATTTTTATTTATTTTTGAGACAGAGTCTTGCTTGTGCCCAGGCTTGAGTGAGTGCTGTGGCGTCAGCCTAGCTCACAGCAACCTCAACTCCTGGTCTAAGCAATCCTGCGCCTCAGCCTCCCGAGTAGCTGGACTTAGGTAGTGCGCCCCTGTGCGCTAATTTTTTGTATATATATTAGTTGGTCAATTAATTTCTTTCTATTTATAGTAGAGACAGGGTCTCGCTCTTGCTCAGGCTGGTTTTGAACTCCTGACCTCGAGCAATCCGCTGGCCTGGGCCTCCCAGAGTGCTAGGATTACAGGTGTCAGCCACCGCGCCCGGCCTACACTTTAAATCACTTATCAGGTATGCTGTCCTATGTTAGACAAAGAGGGATTCAAAGTCTGGGTCTTATTGACAAATATCAAAACTCTTCTTCAGTAGTCATAAACTATGGCCTAATGAATGTAGAAAAGTTTCCTCCTATAATGAGAACTCACTGTTTTTTCTGATTTTCCCTGTTCTTTTCTCATGTCAAATGCTATCATTGTTGATTTTCCCTTGTAACTTTTACCTTGGTTACTTTTAAGTTTGGGGTGTGATAAATCCGACAATCCAGCTTACCTATGTATACAGGTAAAATCAAAGTGTGATTTGTGGACTGGCAGATCTGCATTACCTAGGCAGTTGATAGGAATACAAAACCTCAAGCTCCAACTCACAAATACTGATCAGATCTGTATTTTAATAAGATTTCTGAGGCTGATACGTATGTTAAAGTTTGAGAACTATTGCTGTAATAACTAACTGATTATGGGCCTCTCTTATAAAGCTCAAAAATTATTTCCAACAGCTATTCCAATCCCTAGGACCTTAGAAAGTTCTGTATAGTTGGGACCTGACCTATAGGTAACCGGATATTATCATAGCCAAATGACTGCCATATGTGAAACTATTAATAAAAAAGAGATGCAAAGTCTAATCTGCCTGTGATTTGCTTTTTCTGGGGGTTACCAACTCTAATTCAAGAGTTTGACATAAGGAAATTTAATATACATTACAAAAGAAAAATGAATTGTCTAAGAGAAATCTTATATCTTTACTTACCACCATTCCAATATTGTTCTGTTGCCCACTAGTTGCCATCTCCACACATTCATCTATCACAAGATTCATAAAGGGATCAAATCCCCGTAATATTCCTTGGACATGTCTGCCACCATTTAATTTCACTATTAAAAAGAGAAAAAAAAGTTTTAGTAAAACTACCCACCAACCATCAATTGCTCATTAATAATTAGTTGGGATAAAAAGTTGAGATGTTTGACTCACTATCCTTACTATACGACTAGCATGGGTTACATGTGTTTTATATTTACTTCCATGTTTTAAAGTATCCCATAAAGTAGCATTATCCTTACTTTATAAGATTATATAGTTACTCTATGGTAGAGGTGAGATTCAAACTGAAGGCTGCTTACCTCTAAAGCCCATGGTTTTGACCCACGGATATACTTCAAATATTGTGTGGGTCGGATTTTTAATTAGGTTAACAAATCTGGTTTTCCTGCACACTCCCAATAAACAGACTATTCCTTGTCTAAGTCTTTTGTAGCTTGTTTAAAGGAAAAAAAGTTGATAAATTTTCAAATACCACAACACAGAAAAATCCTGTTAATTTTGTCAAAGTAAGGGAGGACTTATAGGAAATTACTGAAAGTCTGAAGAGCTGTTAAATTTATTAAATATCAGAAATTAGGTAAATAAAATTATCTAGTTAGGAATTTCATAAATCTGCTTACTTAGTGGATATGAATCAGAGATTCTGCATGCTCTAAATTTTTATAAAGTTGCTCCAAACATATACTGCCAAGATACATTAAGAAACTACTAAATAATGAAAAACAAAACAAACTCACATGATAACTTCTTGTCCATAAATCTGAAAAAGCAAAAGGGTAAAGATTATGTAACTGATTTTAAAATTTTAAGCATAAACAAGAACAGAAGTAGGTACATGTAAAATAATTTGCTAAAATCTATACAATAGAATAATGAAATTTAAACAGTAAAAACCTTGTATTGCTGTAAAGGGTGAAGGATTAAGGGGTTACCTAAATAAGATATTCTGTAACCGAATGTAAATTGGGAAGGGGAAAAATTAAAATAAAAATGAAATGCATTTAGACTATATTAATCTCCATTGAGTATGTATAGTAATAATGTGAATTACAAAAACATTCATATTGGCTGGAAGCAGTGGCTCACGCCAATAATCCTAGCACTCTGGGAGGCTGAGGCCGGCAGATCGCTCCAGGTCAGGAGTTTGAAATTAGCCTCAGCAAGAGTGAGACTCCTGTCTCTAGTTCCTTGTTTCTTAGTAGAGTAATATGAAATGAAAATTGGCTGGACAACTAAAAAATATACAGAAAAAACTAGCTGGGCATGGTGCAAATGCCAGTAGTCCCAGCTACTCAGGAGGCTGAGACAGGAGGATCGCTTGAGCCCAGGAGTTTGAGGTTGCTGTGAGCTAGGCTGAGGCCACAGCACTCCAACCCAGGCAACAGAGTGAGACTCTGTCTCAAAACCAAACAAAACATTCTTATTATTCAATACTGTTGTTCCACTGATCTTTCAATGATTGAATTTTATTTTCTTTCTTTCTTTTTTTTTTTTTGAGACAGAGTCTCACTTTGTTGCCCAGGCTAGAGTGAGTGCCGTGGCATCAGCCTAGCTCAAACTCCTGGGCTCAAGCAATTCTACTGCCTCTGCCTCCCAAGTAGCTGGGACTACAGGCATGCACCACCATGCCCGGCTAATTTTTTCTATATATATTAGTTGGCCAATTAATTTCTTTCAATGTATAGTAGAGACGGGGTCTTGCCCTTGCTCAGGCTGGTTTTGAACTCCTGACCTCAAGCAATCCACTGGCCTGGGCCTCCCAGAGTGCTGGGATTATAGGCGTGAGCAACCCACCGCGCCCGGCCTGGATTTTCCAATAATAATAGAAAAACAAAGATCTGGTTACCTTTTGGTTATTTCCAAAACTAAATAAACTAAGTTGTAAAGACAGCAAATAGTAATTAAACCATATCCAATTCAATCGGTATTTTACTTTATATTTAGAAAAATAAGTAATGTTGTTTTACTTAATATTAAAGCATCAAGTTTGTATGTTCAGAATAGTTCTCAACACGTGTGTTTTAGTAAATATTTTGAAACTTTAAAAAATTGGAATTAAACAAGAAAATTCCAGTTTAGAGGCATAGTATGAGAACACTAAAGCCATGCAAAGGAGTTTTTTGCCTCTTCCAATTATAGGCTAGAAAATATGAAATTTCATTCAATTTTTTTGTATAAGGTATCATAGGATGATTCCAAGATAAATAAAACCTGGGGTCCTGAATGGAAGTGGGAATAGATACATTTACAAAGAAAAATATATTTATGGAGTATGATAAATAACACCATATATTTTAATAAAACATATAAAGCATAGCAAATATAACATACAAAATCTTATTAAATCGGCCAGGCGAGGTGGCTCACACCTGTAATCCTAGCACTTTGGGAGGCCGAGGCAAGAGGATTGCTGGAAGTCAGGAGTTTAAAACCAGCCGTCTCTACTATAAATATAAAGAAATTAATTGGCCAACTAATATATATAGAAAAAATTAGCTGGGCATGGTGCCGCATGCCTGTAGCCCCCGCTACTCGGAGGCTGAGGGAGCAGGATTGCTTGAGCCCAGGAGTTTGAGGTTGCTGTGAGCTAGGATGACGCCACTGCACTCACTCTAGCCTGGGCAACCAAGCGAGACTTTGTCTCAAAAAACAAAACAAACAAAACCCAAAATCTTATTAAATCCATACAACTTTTCAATTATGTACTATTATTACCACCATTTTATAGAGGAGGAACGAGGATTAGAAAGGTTAAATAAATTGTTCAAATACACACAATAAGCCAGAAAGTTTGAGAAGAGAACCTGTCTCCACTAAAAATGGAAAAATTAGCCAGGTGCGGCAGCCCATGCCTGTAGTCCCAGCAACCAGGGAGGCTGAGGCAGGAGGATCGCTTGAGCCCAGGGTTTTCAGGTTGCAGTGAGGTATGATGATACCACCGCACTGTACCCGGGGGACTGAGGGAGTCTCTCAAAAAACAAAAAGTAAGGATCTCCTATTTAAAGTTTGACTTACCGGGTGTAGGAAAAATCCAAAAAACAACGAGCCTTCTCTGATTAGAAAAATGAATTTCTTAACACAGTTCCAATGTCAGAGCAAGATATCACGCGACACTCAAATTTAACTTAATTACAAGACATTCTCTAAGGTTAAAGGTTTTTTTGATTCTGATTCCTCTTGTACTATAAAATACTTGCATACAGCCCCTCTTTCCTTATAGAATTACTCCTCTAGCCATCTTAATTAGACCATGATGCCATTCACGATGTTCAACAAAGGGTGGATGCGACATCTTCCAGTAGCGAGGGAGAGCGCGGGGAAGACGAGAGGCCGGACCTCGGGACTGGAAGGCAAGTCGCCAAATGGGAGAGCCTCGGCTGCCTCGGGTGACCAGCCCGACCAAGCCGACGCGCGGGTCTGCCCGGCCTTCACGTCCCGACGCGCGAACCCTGGCCGAGATCCCGGCGGCCTCGGACCGGAATAAGATGAGTGAAGGGACCCACGCCATTCGGCCCAGGCACGCAGGCGTACTGGCGGAAACGAAGGGTGACCTAAGGGACGGGAAAACTTTGGTCCGGCGCTCACACATACTCACTTTTTCAACTCGGGAGGGTGAGCTTTGCTCATGGTATCTACTCCGCGGAGCCAGAGACGACTAGAAACGGAATTTGCAGCCTCCCTCACGCTCCCGCTGTAGGCCCGGCGTCTCGCGTCCGACGTCACTCATCCCTCAGCCAATTGCTTGTCGACATTTTCACATTTCACCTCGCGATACTTGGGGAAGTCCAGCGCTCTGTCACGCGGAGTTTTCTGGCTGTGCGGTCAGGGATTGGCAGGACGGGAGGCGGGGCTTCTAGGCACACTTTCTTAATTCCGTTTTTCCTTTGTGTAAAATTGAGATAACGGTCCCGCTTTAGTTTGGTAGTGTAAACCAAGGGCGCCCTCCATCTGTGGTGGTCGTTTGTTTTATTCAATACGCCGAATGAATGAGCTCAGAGAGAGCCCCTTGTATTTCTTTGGCACGCTATTTCCGCAAGCTAACTAGGGTTCCGTAACTGCAAATTAGCAGCCTTTGCCCAGAGGAGAGTAAGGTGACTGGGCTGTCTCCAGGATTCAGTCTGTTCCCGATTCATGTCTTGAATGGTCGGAACGCTGCCTCCAAGAACCCCACTAAATGTGCCGTTCCCCGTAATGTAAACTGAGTGAGCCCGAATGATCTTAACATGAGGTATTGTTTTTCTACATCAAGTATCAGTGTAAAAAGTGTCTCGACTCATTTCCATTTTTAACTTACCCAAAATAGAAGAATCCAGGATTTACAGAGATAGACCCAAAGAGAGACCTGTTAAGTAGGATGGTTCCACAAAATTCAGTTCATTGCTATTGCTCAGAAACGGCTCTATTTCAATACCGATGATAATAAGTCCAACCCATCATATATAATAGTTTGTATCTTTTGGTACTCAAAATCTAGACCACTAACATTTTATCTAGAGGGTCATAGCAGACTACCTTTCCACCACTTGCTGTTAGTGGTCTAGTGGAAACTAAGAGACATGAATCAATACTGAAATTTCCTGTCATAATGTATCCTTCACCTCAAAAGTTTTCCAATTTACAATGAAGCAGTTCTGACACCTAAGAAAAAAAAACATATATAGAAATAACTAATTCCATTTGGACACCTTAAATTTCTTATTCACACATAACAAGAAAGCATACGAGAAATTAACATATTTGCAGCCCAGATTAGGGATAACAACAATAGTAAAGGGAAAGTCAAACTTATTTATATTCTGAGGCAGCTTGCTCTGTTGCCAGGGTTAAGGTGCTGTGGCATTTACCTAAGCTTCACAGCAACCTCAAACCCTACTGCTCAAAGTGATCCTTCGTGCCTCAGCCTCCCCCGGGTTTTTAAAAAAGCCCCTTTTTTTTTTTTTTTGGGAAAAAAAAAACCCCTTTTAACCCAGGGGCCAAAAAAAAAAATGGGGGACCAAAAAACCCAAAAAAAAAAATGCCCAGGCCCTTAATTTTTTTTTTTTTCCTTAATAATATTTTTTTTTTTAAGTTTTGGGTCCAGGCCCCCAAATTTTTTCCCCCCCCCCTATTTTTTTTTTTTTTTTTTTTTTTTTTTTTAAAGTAGAGACCCGGGGGGCCCCCCCCCTTTTTTTTCCCTTGGGGCCCCCCTTTTTTTTTTTTCTTGGCTTCAAAAGGCCCTTGGGTCCTTTTTGGAAAACCCTTCCCTGAAGCTTTTTTCCCAAAAAAAAACAAATTGGGCAAACCCCCTGGGGGCCCCCCTTTTAGGGCCCCCCCTTTCCCCCCCAGAAAGTGCTTTTAAGGGATTTAACAGGCGTGAGCCCCCCAAACCCAGCCCCCCCCAAAAAAGCCCCCCCCCAAATCTTAAATTCCTTCCCCCAAAAATGGCAAGTTGGGGTCCAAAAAAAGGGGAAAAAGTTGGGGGGTTTAAAAAAAAACCTGGAACTTTTCCCCCCAAAGCCCTTTTTTTTTTTTTTTCCTGGAAAGTTTTTTTTTTGGGGTCCAAAATTCCCTGCAAAAAATGGGGTCCCCCCCCCCTTTTTTTCCCCCTTTAAAAGTTTTTCCCGCCCCCCTTTGAAAAAAAAAAATGAAAAAAATTTTCAACCCAAAAAGCCCCCCCCACTTTTTTTCAAAAGTTTTGGGTGGCAACCAAAAAAATTTCCCCTTTAAAGGTTTGGGGTTTAATGTTCCCCAAAAAATTCAAAAAAAAAAAAAATTGTCAAAATTAAAGTTTATTGAAAAGAAAGGGAAACCAAAAAAAAAAAGTTTTTTTTTTTTTTTCCCTTTTTTTTTTTTCCCCCCCCAAGAAAATTCAAAACAAAAGATTTTTTTAAAAATTTTAAAAAGAAAAAAAGAAAAATCCT